AATTATGGTGAACACGTGGTTGACTCTGGTTGTTCTGCCGGAGCTCTATTGATTGACCTTCCTAAACGATTGGATTCTATCGTCCACACCATACTGTCAGCTAAGCTCAATTCAAGAGGTGTCATAGGTAGTGTACAGGAGCTGATAAACAGCTACTTATCTAATAGACAAGAAGCTGTTTCTGTCGCTAACGTGCTCTCAACTTTTAAATATATTGGCAAAAGTGTCCCGCATGTTATCATACTGGACCAGATTTTATTCATGATCAATATCAATGTCCAAATCTCAATTTAACCACACAGTGATCCTTCCTTGTATGCCGATGATACAACTATTCTTACTAAAAACAAGTTTGTCGATGCGCTAACTAATAAATTGCCCTCTGAATTCTACAACATTCAGAAATGGTGCACAGGTAATAGTTTAACAGTTACAAAAATAAAACTCAGTTCAGTGTTTTCTATTAATAAAGTCAGAACGTTCTTTCACCAACTCTGTTATTACTATCAATGCCCACAGACATCTTTGTACCACTAAGGGCACAATCTTGGGAGTAGTCGTACATTACCGTCTAAAGTACCATCATCTCATTTACCTTATACAAAGGAGCTCAGCTTATGGTATCAGAACTTAAATATATGTATGACCATTCTTCAAATTGTATACTTTGCCTAAGCTATGCTACGCCTTTATCCAAAGTCATAATATGTACTCAGTCATGTGGTGGGTGAACACCGATCCATCTCGTATCCTTCTATTTTAGCATCTCCAAACCCAAGCCATTCGCAACGAAAAGTACAGTACTCCGTTCACCAGTCAGTTGTCACTTTTTAAACAACATAGTGTACTAACAGTGTGTCAATCATTAAATTATAAGTTGGCGATTTTTGTATTTAGGCGCTGTAGAGGTTTTGTAACAGCCAATGTCTTGCACAAACTTCTATTTGTAAAAGCTTATGCTACCACATCTGCCAATAACATTTTTGCTAACGCATTCACGCAATACCTACTGCAAACAGACTACCACATTCGCTGCTATGTATTTTTAAAATTGAATAGCACTATGCACAATACAATTGTCATTCATCACTTTTAAAAAATTAACTTGTTCAACTTACTTCACAGTAATAACTAATCCGTATTTATATTTCACTATTATATTCCATTTGGAGCTATCGATGTACAAGTTGTTTTTACATATATTATGTAGATTTGAGTTGTCTGAGGTATCTTAGCTTAGTCTCCTATGTTCAAGATTCTGCTGCCATTCTAGTATAGTCATGTATAACTAGCAAACTTTGTGCTATTACTATCCCTACTAAAATGTGTATTGCAAGTTTGCCACGTCTTTATTCCTATATTGATTACATGCCACTTTTGAGTTGCCATTTTGTTGTACTCATTAACATATGTATTCCTCACGGAAGTCCGCTTTCAGCCTTGTGCTCTTGGACTTCCTTCTGTATATGCTAACCCCAATACAGTAAATATTTTATATTTTACCGCTCCCCAGAATGAACGGCACTTGCGACTGTTCGCAAAGAGCAGTTTTTTTTTCGTTGCTGCTATTTCGGTCGGTGTATAGGCAGTTACCCATGAATGAGGCTGACCGACCCAAGACGGCGTTTGTAATTACAGACAGCTTCTACTAGTTCAGCGTCATGCCGTTCGGGAATCGCAACGCCCCTACCACTTTGAAGCGTCTGATGGTCAACATGCTTTGAGGCCTTAAATAGTGTACCTTTCTTATCGCGTCAACGTTGTCTTTTTTAGAAATAATTCGGCCCCCATCTTTCACGCTTCGCAAGTGTCCTGAAATTTCTCACACAAGCTGTGCTCTAACTCAAATTAAGGTACTGTCTTTTTGCCGCCCGGAAACTTACCCTTTTAGGGCATGTTGTCAGCAAGAAAGGTGTTCAACCTTACACTGTTAAACTGTGCCATAGAAGGGTTTTCTAAGTCATTGGCTTTACTAAAATTGCAGAGCATCATAGACCTTTGTTCGATCAATTCCATTAGAATCCTATTATACTTTCATTGATTCATACATAATTTAGCCTGAATAATGACTTTAATTATGAAATATCCCAACTTCCTGAAAGTCAAGACATTTTTGCGTGGTCTTGTGCTTGCGACGACACATCCGTAAGCCTACACCACCTGTTGACATCGACACAGATATTCCATCACTTCAATTCAGATGACTCTACTGAAATTCACACCGACGCTAGTGGAGTCGGACTTGGCGCTGTTCTAGCTCAACGCACGTCTGCCTTCTACAATTACGTCGTTTTCTACGCCAGTCGCACTCACACTAGAGCTGAAGAGAATTATCGTCACGAAAAAGGAATGCATGCACATTGTTATGGCAATCACAAAATTTTGATGTGGCGTATCTGGTCAGCCATTTGATGTCGTTACTGAACACCCCGTACTCTGCTGGTTATCGTCACTAAAATACCGATTTGATCATCTGGCTTATTAGAAATTACGTCTCCAAGACTATGACATCCACGTTGTCTACCGGTCAAGCAACAGACATTCAGATGGCGGCGCTATTTCCTGCTCTGCACAGTGCTAAGAATATGCAACTGCGTCTGTTACCAGCTACGATGATTTGGCGCTCTCGCAAACTGACTAGCTTTCCGAGCAGCGCCAAGGCTCTTGGATAGGCTCTCCAATGATGGTCCTTTCTCAGCTGTCCAAAAGTGCCATCACTCGTTCACAGCGACACACAACTCGACATTACACAATCCGCAATGAACACCTGGACAAACGCAGGTACCCTTCTGACTGCCACAAGTGGTTGCTTGTGATTTCTCGCCACTTGCGTGCCGATATTTGTGACTCCTTTCTCGTAGATCCCGAATGAGGCCATGCCGGTATGATAAAAATGTATGTGCGCCTCTGGCTGCTGTGCTACTGGCGCGAATTGTACCACTTTGTCAGACAGTACCACGTTCGTGTTCCAGCGTCAAAGCCGGAAAGCCCACTGCAGATTGTTAATCGACAACTGCAACTGCTTCCTTGCCTTTTGCGTTCTTTATACCATATCAGAGTCAACTTGTGCAGTCTTTTTTCCGAACCGCTGGAGGATCGTCGCGATAGATCACTTCACACGCAAGACTGAAGTTTCCGCGGGGTCAGAGGCCACATTACAGAGTCGGTTAATTTATCTTTCACTACAAGCCCATGTGTGGACTTTTTTGTTCTACATTTTGCGTCACTGCTCTCAATCGCGGCAAAAGGTACCAGGAAATGGAATACCGCAATGCTTCGTTTTACGTTAGGATATCTCTGATCGTGGGACATTTTTTATCGCCATACATTCTCCTGCGACAATGCGGTATCTAATTGCCTGACATGCAGCAATATATGGCGTAGAACAGGCAAGATACTTTTTCTAGCTGGATTGCAACATGGGTTAATATAGGTGCGTACTCCGCCAACAATCTAATGAGTCAGTCTAACAAACTGAAGGGTGAAAAAACTATTATTCTTGTTAATACAGTAGAGTTGCTGTGGATTACTGCTGTAAATCCTGTAATCGAATCATTTCTGGTAGTGTTCATAAGGAAACATTTTAATGTTTTATACATTTAGGCATACTGCCGGCTTAATCGGTCCTTGGAGGAGTGGTTACAGGAAAAAAAAAGTAAAGCATTTCAAAGAAGAAGAAAAAAGAAAGTCAATATCATGAACAGAATTGAATGGCGCGCACCACCGCAACAAATAATTTAACAGTAATGCAATTCACAACACTATCTGGTAAAATGTGCCATTGAACAATTGCCGAGGGTAACAGAGAATATTTGTCAATAATAATGCGGCTTGAAGGTTGTCTGATTGCCTTACTGTGGTGTATATGAAGTGTGTATAGTTGTGACACGGTATTTTTTGTTCGACGCTCTTGAATGCGGGAGCAAGCTTTAGGTATACCTGTCATCCCCACATTATCTTTGAGTGCATAAGTCAGGAACAGTGCTGACGGCATTTATATCTTATCATCACTGAAGCACGTAAATTACAAGGCCCAGGCCAACCTTAGCAATGAAAAGGTTTATATCCTGATTCGTGTTAAAACATGCCGGTGCATTAAAGAAACAGAACAAAGGAAGAACTACGGCTGCTTTTTACTGTCGCAAAAAAATGAGGAAAGGTCTGCAATTAACGAAAGAGAAAAAAAACTGAAAATAAGTACGATGGAATCAAACCGTGCATACGGATAGCAGCACTGAATCACGAGAAAATATAAGCATTTAAAGGCTACTTATCTCAAAACGTTTTGGTGATCCCCTGATATTTTTAATGAATGTTATTTCTTTCATGAAGCAGTAAGGCGTGCCGTCACAGTGAACCCAAGTACTAGGCTGGCTATTCTATAAATACTGACCAGTACAGATGTGATTTTCAACGGCAACTTTATTAATCCTAAGGCACAGGATCCCGAGGACTTAGTTAGGACCATTCAATTGCAACCTTATTAAAACTCGGCGCGGAAAACTATAAAACGCTTGTCAAGGCCTAGGTAAGATAGCCGGGGAAGCTTGTGTCCTTTACAATCGTACGCATCTGCTCCATGGTACTCTGCGTAAACGCCTATTAAAACAATATTTTGTTACTTCTGTCTAAACTGGCACTTTTCATTTAGAATGGATGTCATTATTTCGATATTTGCTAAGGTGTTGAAGTTCTAGAAAACGAGAGATATAGACGAGCACTTTCTGAGAAAAGAAACTCTGTGATTTATGCGAAAAATAATTCTTGTCACTCAAATTATCCAATATTATTTGATAACCTGGTTGCTTGGGCGAGTTGGTACGACACGATTCACATACATGATTCACGGCATGATTTGAGGAAGTGCTTACGCAAATTTTTCTGGGTGGGCAGAGATGATCATAGGCGGAGGTCGTATTTGTTCTGAAGTTGTAAAGGACTACAGTCATTACTGAAACACGTTCTACAGGGTGAGAATGGCTTGAATTCACGTACATTGTACCATTGACTCCACCTTGAAAACGGCACAGGAATGATCAAATGCCATGAAAAGTAAAGTTTCAGTTGTTTTGAAGACGTCTGAAAAAAAAAGAACAGAGACAATTAGCAATTGCAGTCACTGCAGTAACTGTTGCAGTGATAGCTTGCATGTGCACATAAGTTAACTATAGCTAAATATATACTCTTACTTCTAAATGTTAGCATATAGGTAGACGTGTGCTGCACATATCGGAAACACATCCCGGAGCTGCGTAAGTGTACTACGCAGGCTGCTACTGGATGGCTGAATGTGGATAATTGTAAACAGTAGGTTTCGTGTGTCTCTCTTATTAAGGGTAACAGTACCTTGAAAATTATTTAAATCGATAAATACAAAGTTCATTACGTTGTACAGGTGACCCCGACGTCCCTGCAGCTTGTACACACCACCAAGACGCATTGTTACAGCGTGTAAACACGTGGGAACCCTATGATTGGTAACACACAAATTTTAAAATATGATTCTCAAATAAAAACAAAATTCAATTTGATAAAATTTTATGTGTACGTCGCCACTAAAAGTTGCTACTTAATCGGCAGTTGAGCAAATTTCAGTAGGATGGCCTCAGTATTAAATTCATGGGTGAACATGCGCGAAAATGAACGCTTTTTTTTTTAAATTTGTCACCACTTGTAAACGTTTTCCGCAATGTAAATGACTGAAAATATTTTTGGTCTCTGGTACAACATTCTGACACCATGCTAATGTGAACCATTGAATTTCACTTAATGTTGGCTTTTCATTAAAACGTTCCCACTATGGACCACGTTCTCTGTTTCAGGCCACATAAAAACCCTGAAATAGGTAAAAGCTTGTAAAATTTACATTGAATGAAACGCCTACGACTGTTCTAAAGGTAACAAAATTGTCTCAACCTAATTCAGGAAGAACAGGTTTTCTACAAACTGTTTTAGGAGCAATGGTGTCGGGTTTTGTGAAAAAAAATATTTGAGCCTTGCGGTACTGAAAAAGGATTTCTTGCAGTCGTGTTATATTGGCTAGTGCTCAATAGGCCGAGGCTAAAGTGTGTCACCTGTAGTCTACTGTAGAATGGACATAACTAATGCTTAAAGGAACTGGCTTGTAGCGGTTATAAAGCATTTCCCATTGTGGCATAACTTTCGACTACTTCGTTTTACTTACGACAGTGGTGTCTCACATTGGTTTGTACAGTCTACCGCTTATACATGATCGCTGGATGTGAGCTGAATTTGTTTACTTGTTAGCGGTATTTGATCCTTTCGTAATGTTCGTTGGCCATCGGCTGATGCCGACAATGGATACGCGATAGTCGCGTATCCAATGAAAGCACCCTGATAGCTTTGTATTAGAGATTGTAAATTAATTTTTATGACATTTGTCCTTGTGGTAAATGGCTGTGGTTGACTCCTAACAAATTCGCCAAAGCACAGCATTCGCGGTATTGATGATGGTGCCCCAAAACGCGTTTTTTGCCGGTTAAACAAAAGCTCGGCGTTCGAGCCGAAGTTCCCGAGTTTCCTCGCAGTGCAGTTCAAAACTCTAGCAGGGCTGTCGACGTTCTGTAAGTACGCAACACGTTTCTCTACGTCGCAGCCCTTTGTTTTGAACATTTCCATGTGCTATGTGTACATTTTGATATGTCGCTTAACGTAAAATCAGGATGTTTGTCTAAAACTGTTGAATATTCTTCAGCAAAACTTCAAAAACAGTTTTCAGCAAACTGCCTTTAACGTAACGAATGTCGCAAAAAATTCCGTAGTTGACCATGCACGTCCAAATATATAACAACCTAATGTATTTAGCAGTTGTGTGATTATTATCAACATTTCGAATTTTTGTGGTAGTTTCATATATTAGTTTACTTGAACGTTCCCTAATGAAAAGTATTTTACGGTCAGAAAAGCATGAGCGCAGGGTACCTTTTCAGCAAAAAGGGTCATGTTGACAAATGGTAGCTAAGTTTTTGTTGATTTTAAGTGAGACCACAAGTAAAAAGGACCGTGTGAAGTACTAGGCAATGAAAGTCTTTTTGCGGGCAGTGAGCCTCAATTTAGAAATACTCGGCAACGTTCGTGCGTGAAAACACGTTTATTTGCGTAGTATACGTAATGCAATCATAATTAAGGGTAATAGAGATCTTCCTCAGGCGTTCTCCAGGACATATTATGGTTGAATAAACAACAATAACTAGTTATTTATATTCGCTAGCGTTATTTTTCGACGCGAACACTTGAGCATTGTTCATAGCTAATTCAAGAGCGGCAAGGCAGCGTACGGACTTCAGCGGCATCTGATATGAAATGTTGATGTTTTTTTCTGTTGCATGTCTAAGTACTTTATATTACCTTCGTACTGCATTTTAATGCGTTTGGAAAAAGTGGTTAACAATTTCGAGGGCTTGGTACTCTACTTTCGGAAAGGTTAACGCTGTCCCAAGAAAATAAGACAGTACAGCCCAAAATGATCTGTAGAACATACGCTGTGACGAATATTGGCCTAATTCTGCGTGGAGAGAGTAAATTTAGGGGCTCTGCCCTATTGAGAAAACGTCCACTAACGGAATGGTGGGTTCCACCATCCACCATTTTGGTGGACTATGGCGGTGTAAATGTTGGTGGCACATAGTGTATGGCGGCTGTAGTGGCGCTGATGGTGGATTGCGTGCTCCAGCTGGCAATGCTGGAGCGCGAAGTGGCGTCAGAACCACCGTGACAAGCTGCCACTAAAGATAATAAAAATAATTGTATTAAAAACGACGTAGAAAACACCTGCAAAAAAACTTTCAAGAGCGGGGAATAGAACCTGCCTCGTCCGAATTCTGAACTGAGCACACTAACCATTGCGCCACGCCGACAGATGGCGATGCGGGTGTTAAAGCGGTAGTCAAGTAAGAAAGTCACTGTTTAACTTCAGTTATGTTTGTTGTTTACTCGGGAGGGACGGGATCCGCATCTGCTAAACTTTGCACATTTGATAAACACAAACAACTGCTGCCTGTAACGATTGCCACTGCGATATTGGCAACATCGCTATGTTTTTGTTACAATTTACAACGGCAAGAAAAAAACAAACAACTCAGTGGACAAGGGAGCAGGTAGAGTTTATCTGCGGTTACTGCCAAGTTTATTATCCCTTTCTCGCTCCTTTCAAAGAGCGATATCAGTTCAGGCTTTATGACGCTCCTATGCTCATTCGATAGATACGCCCACGCAGGTGATTCTGATGTTTTTTGCGCAACGCAGAGCGCAGTCGTGCCATCGTACGCTGTTGCTCTGTCGCTAGGAACAACTGCATAATGGCTAGGCGAAAACGAATGCAGTGCGCCAGAAATAATATTCTATCATATTAGTTCAGTAAGCATACAAATTGACGTGTCGATGTTCTCGCATAAGAGCCAGTGAAGTGCCGGCGAGTGCGACTGGCGGCTGTCGGTGAGGAGAGGCGTACCTTTGGTGGAAGTGCTGCTAGCGCGTCGCATCGATGTTTGTCGCTTCTTGCGCGGACACCGTCCACAATAAAAAAGGCTTCATTTAGGGTAAATGATGCCACAGCTGTGCTGTATTGTGATTTTTACTCGTCAAATTTGCTTATTCTGAAAGCCAGAAGCACTGAAAACACTTGTGCAGGCTCGGTCGGTATGACTAACCTTTGGTGGAAATCATTGTGGTAGAACAGAGGGGTGAAAATCAAATTCGCTGGGGCTCATCTCGACGCATGTCGAAAGTGAAAGTTTATGCATATTCACACGCACTTTGTTACCCTAAATGTACGGCTCAAACAATAGAGTGTGCAAGAATTACCAGAGTTGCGTTTCTAGCGTGGCGACATCGAAGGACCACTGTGTTCTGCTCTAACATTGACAGGAGCGATTGCGAACTGGAGCCCATTTATCGGTAGACAACTGCGCACCGATGTAAAACATTTACTGTCAAGTTCACAGTGACAATTCTAGTCTTCTAAACATCACAACAAAGAAACACATCGCGGATGTCGAACTGATGTAAGTACATGCGCGAAAGTAAACATATTCCCGGCAACATATTCTATGCTCCACAAAAATTAAGCGTCGTTGACACAACAGGAATAAAAAATTAAACGTACTAGAAAGCGTAATGAGCAGCGTCGGTTTCTTTTGACTGTAAACATATATCTCTGCGCATTCAAGAACGAAACACTACAAATAAGTGATTTCGCATACTGTTCTGTACTTTTCATCATTCCATCATCATTCACCAAGCTTACACCATGCCCCCGTCATCCTCATTGCTCACCAAGCCTTCCACCAAACACGTTTTGGCTCGCCACCATGAGCCGGCCTTTTCCACCGTCACCACTATTGGCTCGCGACCACCACCACCATCTGCCACAATTTTTTCCACTCTAGCCGTCATCAGCCATTATGCCCACTACAGTTTCCACCATATTCACTAATATTTCCACCATATCCACTATTCTTTCCACCATATCCACCAACAATTTCATCATCCACCAACCCAGGATTTTCAATAGGGTGTGGTTTGCATTAGTCATCATGGATACTGACAAGTATGAGTGACCAGGTATTTCTCCCATGGAAGTGCACAGAGGTATAGGTCTAGGCGTCAGAATTCACTGTAAGTTTGAATGAACCAAGTTCTCAATAATAATTGACCTTTTAGTGTGACAGTATTTAGTGAAGTACTGCTGACAGGTTTCCAAAAAAGCAAGTTCACTGTGTGATCCGTTAAGGTTAAATTCACAGGAAAAATTAGCGCTAAATCAAGTCTTGGTGCGCGGCAAAAAAACAAGTACCTTGACTGGCTTCTACATTGATGACTGCATACCACTGCCAAGTTTTGTTACAGACGCACGATTATTGAACTGTTCTAAGCCGGTAAGAAATCACAAACCTAACTTTGTGCGCACAAGGACTTTAAAAGACTAGCAAAATATGATTGTGAAAGACGTAAATGGCCATGTCACCGTATCCGCGAATGAGTAGTCACCCGTACTCTTGTATACCATCTTTTTCATAACAAACAATAAGGGCATAAGTAGATGATTTTAAAAAGATATTTCTAGTACACAGTGTCACATCCTAGAGTGAATATCACTTTATTGTAAATATCACCGTCCCGGTGCTATTGAGTTCTTAATTACTGTGGCCCAACATGTTGTGCGCGGGGATTGAGCATATAACATGCTCCTCCAATTCTTTATAGTTTGTGGGCATAGACCTATACGAACCTCTTCTCACACCCATCTGTTACCGCTGGATAGTTACTGCCATGAATCATCTTTCTCTCTGCTCCGAGGCGGCAGCTCTTCCTTGCGGCACTGCCTCTGAGGTGACCAGCTATGTCCTTCTTAGCACTATCTTGCACCACCGCACGCCACGTGCTGTCCTTAGTGACCGTGGTAAGACACTTTTGCATAGCCTCGCTCAAGCTTTACAGGCCTCTGACATCATCTAGAATACCACATTGGGGTATCTTACGGAGATATATTGCCTCACCAAGCATTTTCGTCGAATTTTTTCAGAAAACTTCCATATGTGTTAAATTCGATCATAAAAACTAGAAAACAATTCTACCATTCGTCACGTTTGACCAGAGTACTGCGAATAAATATACAAAAAATACAGCCTGTTTTTAGTCGTGTATGGTCATGCATTGTCTTTTCTTCAGGACACCAGCTTCTTCTCGACGTCCCCAGGACTATCTGCGCCCCTTTCTGAAGAGCTCCCTGTCCACGTCCCTCTCTTCTATGCAAAGACTTCGGCAGGTCACGAAGAAAGTTTGTTCTGATGTGATACATCGAGTTGTATCATTGCAACCAGGTGATGAAACGCTCCCAAGAACACATGTTCGTGCGCGGTTTTAAACCAGGCTAGAATGAAGATGTACCATGAATTATTGCGTCGCTTTCTTGATTCGTGTTCTGTCCTCCGTCATTGCAGTGCCGAGATTGACCATGTTCCTGGCCTGAAGCCCTACATACCATACTCGTACCATTACCAAATAGACGTGTTGTTGACCACCATCATAAAAGGGTGATATAGTATGTGCGCTATAGTTTGAGTGTAGTATGACCTTAAGCTGTGCATAAAAATCATCGTCATCACCACCGTGCTTTTGGCCTGCTCTTCAAAAGCTGGCTTGCGCGTCTGTGTTGTAAATACAGTGATCGTTCCGTCGGACCTGACGTCGTCTCTCAATTTATATTATCCTTACCTTTGTGAACAATAGTCATTCGTTCTTTGTGCTCTGTATCAAGTACTCCAAGTATTCCCATTTCACATCTGCAAATAAGAAACGCAGGAGATCAGCAGAAGACTGGTAGCCGCAACACAAAAACTTACCTATTTCCTCTGATATATACACATCTGTTCATTGAAACCGACAACGGTGTAACATAATTGACTTTGTCTACCTCGCACTGAACAGGCCTTCTGCGAGTCGTTCGGGACGTCCATATAGGTTCCATCTGGTTGACAAACTGAAAAAATAAGAATAAATATACGGGTACATATACAAAACTAGTTTCACAAATTGATGCCACGGTAAGCTGCTGGAATGCACAAGCAGCTGACGTTAGAATTATACCGAAAACGAAAGTGCCAATAAACTGTTGTTTCCGTTTTCATCCACGTCCTTGAACGTGCGGGCTTTCATTTATTTGTTTATATAAATGGATCACCACCTATGGCAGTGTTCCACACGCACTGCCATAGGCACTAGTCGACGGAAATCGGCAATAGATACTGTGATCACTTGAACACACTTCGATCGTCGTATTTTCAACATTACGTTTGATAATTTATAGAGTTACGTGGCTGTAAACAAATAAAGTGCGCTTCGGTTAGTGAAACCAGACCGCAAATTTTTCGATGTCGGAAGTACAGACTCCACACTGTTTGAAACGAAAGTGCAACTACAACCTAATAGGTTCAAGAAAATGTTGGTCTTGTGTAGCTAGTAGTATAGTACAAACTTCTGCGCCAATTGTGGTTTCCCTATAGTAAACCACAGGAAATGCGTTTCAGAAGCCCCCAGCAGTGACTGCTGTGTCCAGACTTCAGACAATTTCTTTTACAAATTGTCGATGCCGTCAATGCAAGAGACGAAGGCATTAGTTGATAGACGCGTCATCTGTGGCGAGTTCCGCCAGGCTGTTTATCAAGTGAAGTAAGAGTGACAAATCCGCCGGAAAACGCCGGTAGTACTCACAAGTGATGCAATCGCAAGTCCTGGAAAAGCGCGTGCTGGGAGGTAAGAAACTAGACATTAGATGGGTGTTTCGAAATGAAAGCTCACTACCTAGAAACGGACAGAGAGACAAGGACAAGCGCTTGCTACCAACTCAAATTTATTCGTGAAACTATGAAATAGATAGGGTCAGATGAAACATTATCATGGCACATAGGATAAGGAGCTAGCATATTTAGACAGTATCAGATGCCAAAGGAGTTAAGTAATCCCTCGAAAGCACAGTAGGCGTTGTCATTTTGGTCCGTGATTTGGTCTTATCGTATGTGCCATGATACTGTTTCATTCGTCCGTATATATTTCATAGTTTTCCGAATGAATTTTCAGTCGGTAGTAAGCGCTTGTCCCTGTCTTTCTGTACTTGCTAAGTAGTGTGCTCTCTTTTCGAAACAGTCATGTATCACCAACTCACCCAATCAACCATATTGACAAACTAGATGGGTATCGCAACTAAAGCAATTGTTGTTCCTATTTACAATATTTAAACATCGTTCTTTGGTTCACTTGGATTAGAGCTTTCCTGCATTTTCGGAACCTATTGTGTAGACCACGCAAAATATGCGGCCAGTGAACTGTGTAGTTCCGATAAGGACTTCTTTTTGACCGTGTTGCTAGCTCCGCAGCTTAATGTACACTTGGGCAACGCGCACAATACGTTTGTGTCGTTCATGTCGTTCACTATTCCGAGAATCTTAGTTAATGGTGAATAAAAAATAAAGCTTACTGTTTCATTTGGAAAGGAGTTTGCTCAAAATAATGTGCAGCCCCGTTACGTGCATAACCCCCATCGCGTAGTGGCAAAGTCCAAAAGCTATTTTGCGTCGTTTTCGTAGGTCTTCACTGTTACACGTTCTACTAGCCTTAGGGATATTTGAATTCGAAGCACAACTAAACACACATCCATAGAACTATACAAAGATGATAGGTGGGTGCGTAGCTAGATAACAGCGACATTTACCTGAATATTTGTCTAGATGCCAGATTTAAGGAGGCAACAATATATAAGCGCTCTTTGTTTAATCTAATATTGCAAGTGGACAAATGATTCGCCAAAATGTGTTGTATACTACTTCTTCTAATTCCATTGTTCACCAAACATACAACGCTGATTTTGCAATCCGCACACAAGTCGTTGACAAATTATGGATTATAGCAAATCTGCTTTCATGAAATCCAGTACAATAGTTTGAGGCCCCTGTGAACCAGTTTCTTCATAAGTTGAGTGGAAGCAGGCGCATTTATGACACTGAGTGTGATGTGAACCACTATACTTTACACATCGCTAGTTTACGTTGGTTTCGCGCATTAAGTAGAGAATACCCAGCAGCTTCAACAAACGTAGTGACCTCGACGTTTGGTCTCGTATGACGTCAAGCTGTCTAAAAAACACGCTGAGTAGCAGTTTACCATAAGGCCTTACTGGAAGGAAACTAGGCGGGAAAAGCACATAGGATTCTTTCATTCAATATGTTTTGTCCTGTTCCTTAAAACTCGCATTACGGTCGAGAAAGCTCGATTATTCATTTTGTGTGCAATATATAATATAATGGCTTATATAATTTATTATTATATGAAGTTTAACTTTTCAAAACCTTGATATGATTACGAGTGACGCCGTAGCAGAGAGCTATGAAAACTTTGACCAATTGGAGCTTTTGAACGTGCACCTAATCTAAGCACACGAGTCACAAACGTCACGTGTATTGTTTGCGCGGTGTGTTTATCCTTCGTGACACTAATCCGTATGAGCTACAAGTTAGTGAGGTCCACGTGAGGCATACAGGTGGGAAAATTGAAATGCGACCTCGTGGTGCCAGGATAAATACATGAGCTTCAGTGCCTGCAGACATTGCTCAACCTTTAGGCAGCCAAAATAAACGTCCCTTTCTTGCTAAGAACAGAACTGCGAGTGCATTTGGTACTGAATACTTTGTTGCAAAAAAGCTATACAAGAAACTGGAAAAAGTACATGTGTCGGTGAAACATGTCCTTGCCGTATGTAAAAATCAAACTAGGAGCCTTCAGGTATCATGCGAGGGCTTGGCTGATCGGCTACTAGTTAGTAAAAACATCACGTGTTATGCAACGCCGGTTGCGAAAAGTGCAATTCAAGAATCGCTGGCTAACAATCCTGAGACTACAATATGATGAAAAATTGAACGCTGCTTTTCCATTTGCAAAGCGCGTTCTATGAAAGCCTGAATTATTCGACCAGGCCATGTGCATCTTTCTGCTGTTTCATTGTTTTTTTTTTATGTGTGTAAATTGTTTGCTCTAGCATTTGGTACCATGACAATGGACATAATTGGGGAGCTTTTCCAAATCTGTTGCTGTGGAATAGCTTGCCAACACTTGTGACTTTGCTGCTGACCCGCAGGTCGCGGGTTCGATTCCCGGCTGTGGCGGCTGCATTTCCGATGGAGGCGGAAATGTTGTAGGCCCGTAGCACATCTTTGTGTTGTAAGCACTTTGAGCGCCTGCCTGCCTATCTATCTATCTATCTATCTATCTATCTATCTATCTATCTATCTATCTATCTATCTATCTATCTATCTATCTATCTATCTATCTATCTATCTATCTATCTATCTATCTATCTATCTGTCTATCTATCTATCTATCTATCTATCTATCTATCTATCTATCTATCTATCTATCTATCTATCTATCTATCTATCTATCTATCTATCTAGCTGACTGACGTTTAGATCACCTGGCTGTTTAGGTAATGCTATCAATACCGAATTTAGTATCGCATAACATGAGCGTATGGCGACAATGTTTGACTGGTCGTAACATGAGTATCATGAGAAGTGCGTCATGAAGTTATGATTTACACTTCAAGGTCTTGCTGCTCTTTGGGTGGTTTCATTCAGATGACATTTTGAAAACTTGGCACGGTATGACATCACTGCATGGTGAACACAAGTGACCGACCCTAACACTGAAATCATGACAAGATGTCCCGTAACTCATGACTCATCACTCATGACAACGCACCAAGCTCGCGATACACTTGCAGTCATTTTGCCAGCTTAACATGTACCATGTTTTGTGTTACGGGACGTGAATGGATGTTGAAAGTATGTGACTGGTGCAAACATGATAATTATGAGATGCGTTTCATGTAACAACTTGACTACATGCCACACTCCTCATGCGCTCGCGGCCATTTGGCTAGCTGCAAGAACACCAAATTTGTTATTACGGGACGTGAATGGATGGCGAAGGCATAAGACTGGTGATGACATGATAGTCGTGAGATCCGTGTTATGTTAGAGCATGAGTACAAGCCGCACTCATGATGCGCTCGCGGCCATTTTGCCACCATGTACCAAATTCAGTATTATGGGACGCGAACAAATGGCATATGCAAATGACACATCCAAACATGACCCCGAAATGTGTGTCTCATAATAACACGACCACCAGCCACACTCATGATGCACATGCGGCCGTTTAGTTAGCTTCACATCGTCCAGATTTGGTATTTCGTCGCGTGAATGGATGCCGAAGTATGTGACTGATCCGAGCATGACAATCATGAAAGGAGTGTCATGTAAGAACGCGACTACTTGCCAAACGCAAGGCGCCGAAGCACTTCGACATCACCCGGTGCGTGTGCGCGCCGGCGTTTGTTTCGTCTTGTCTCGCCGGCGATGCCATGCCAGGCGCCAATCTGCCTGGGATATACTCGCAGGCGCACGCCGTGCTGCATTGCTTTGACGCATGCGCGTTTGCGCGCGCCCAGCGTCCTTCCTTCACGAAGCCAAGCAGACGTGGTGGTGTCTAGGTAACATCGTTGGCATGAAATGCAGCATGTCGCATTTCTCGCCGGCTGTCGCCGGACCTTACCGACAGACACTGGTCGCGCCTAGCGTCAGAAAAAACGCTTGTGTTTTGCTAGCGTAGCGTCACTCTGCTCAGCGTGCGCACACGCCCATTTTACATGAGCTCTCCGCTGTTTTGCTGGCTTCACATATACCAAGTTTGGTATTATGGGACGTGAATGTACGACGTAAGTATGTCACACGTCGAAACATGATAATCATGGCATTCGTGTCATGTAAATCATGACTACATGCTATGCTCACAGCGTGCTCGCGGCCGTTTCGCTAGCTGCACATATGCAGAATTTGGTATCAGGTGACCTGAATAGATGAGGAAGGCGATTGAGACGTTAAAACGTGAT